AGGATGACATGATGAGTCGCTATCCACATCTGTTTGCTGATGCATGATTCCGGGACGGAATCATCCTAAGGGGGTGAGAATTGTAACGCCCGGGTTTTCAGGGCTAAGCATTTTTGTCAATGTAATAGTCTAGGTCAACTATTGTAACTCTTTTTGAAGTAATAAATATGAAATATTTGAGTATTATGTGAATTATGTGTGTTTATGTGTTTATTATTTAATTATAAATGTATAATTAATAAAGAATAAAAATGAGCGTCAAAATTAAAGTGTGAGATAATCCCGATATCTCTACATAAAGTTGTAGAATATGTCTCAAGGTTTCCGTACATATAAAGAATGCCGAAATCCGAGCTATAACGAAGAAGTTATGGCCCGCCGAAGTTTTACGGCAAAACCGGCACGACACCGGGAGACGTAAATAGTGAATTTACGATAGAAGACTTTTTAGCCTTAGCAATCTAAACAAAAGTCGTAGAATATGTTAAACTAAGAACATCGATAAAAAGAACGCCCAAATCTGACTTCGTATGAAGAAGTTATGATTTTTCTAAGATTCGGCTTAGCAGTGCACGGCCTGAAACTCGAATTTTAGTTCGAGCGGTTTTTGGCTTACGCAACGTAAATGAGAGTTGAAGATCTCATTAATAGGAAATCAACGGTAAAAAGACAGACAAAAACAGAGTCCGTATGTAGAAGTTATTAATTTTACGCAGACGTTTAACAGTATAATCTCCTTGTACTGTTAAATTTAAGATCGGTCGAGAATTAGCTGACGGTGTCAAAATGAAAGTTGTAGATCTTATTATTACCTACGCGTGGATATAAAGAACGTCAAAAACGGAGGTCGTATGTGAAAGTTACGGATTTTAGAAGTCGGAAGTGTGCTGTGCGAAAATGGGTGATGTGGCACAATCTTGGCCATTGCTTTCTCCCCAAGGCTTGCCACCAGATGGTGACATGTGGCACCAAGTTCAGCCACATTTCACCCTATAAATACCACCTCTCCCACCCTCATTTTCTTCACACCTTTCCCATTCTTTCTTCTCTTTACTCTCTCTCTCTCTCTCTAGAACCTCTCTCTAGCCCCGAAATCCCCCGAAAAGCCTAGGGAACCTCCCTAGCACGAGGCGGAAGCCCCGGAGTGCTCGAAGGCTCGAGAAGAAGAGCTTTTCGGCTCGGGAACGCTGCTCCAAGCAAAGCCCGGTTTTCTATAAAACCCGCTGTAAGTGAGCTACGCCTACGCTATTTTTAATATAACTTTTATTTAATTATAGTAACGTTATTAGGAACTTATAATAAATACTTGGGCTATTATTATGGGTTATATAAGTATTTTTTTGACGCTTATATAATAATAATAATAATAGCTAGACTATTAATTAGTCTCGACGAATAATAAACTAAACTCTAGTGGTAATAATACTAGGTTTCGTCGAAGAAAAATTCTTTTTAAGAAGCGAAGCGCTGTCTGAGTTCGGAATCACCACCTTTTCCGGTGAGTGCATAGTTACTTTCACTTACACATAGATATGAAGTATTTTATATAAATTACGTGCTATGTGTGCATATTATCTGAATACTTGCTATCTACATTAGATGAACGTTGTTATACATGTTTTCAATGATTTAAACTGTATATGTATTTTATATCTACGAAAATGTTGGGGTAAAACATGGGTAGATGTAATAGGTGATGTGATAAAATGATGAGAGGCCTCGATGTTGTTGTTGTTGATCCAGTCATCTAGCGGAGTATAGATGACGACCACGGACTCTTCTAGACAGTCCAGTGGAACACTAGCAGGCTCGCAACCTGTAGGTGTTGTGAACGATGTGTTCACCGGTGTACTCCATCCCCCACATGGTTGCCTATTAGGACATTTATTGCTGAGGAATCCCCTTAGCAGTAGTGTCGTCCCGATGATGATCCTTAGGCTAGGTCCCTTATGATAGGTGTTTAGGGACGTAAAGTGAGGATAACGGGAACGGGTAATCGGGTTATTGTTGATTGATGAAATTAATAAACTTATTTATTGTGGGTTGAAAACCCTATGTGCTCACCAGGCTCCCAAGCCTGACCCACTCAGTTTTATGCATTACAGGTAGTGGCGCATGAGCATAGGTGTGATGTTTTGGACGAGGGATTACGGATATAGGCCTGTAGATATGAAATAATGTAGTAAGGCTTATATTGTACTGTTTATACTTTTGATCTGTACGAACATGACATCCCGAGTCTTTTAATGAAATACATTTCTATGGAAATGCTTTTGATAAATCTTTATCATATTATTGTTTTGGGACAAATTCCGCAACCCTTTTATTAAAAGATAACTCTGATTTTGAAATAAAGTATAAATAAAACCGGTCTTTTTTGGCCGTGATTTTGGGGATGTCACAATATATATATATATATATATATATATATATATATATATATATATATATATATATATATATATATATTATATATGTATATATATATATGTACGTATATATGATTTATACTTTATTTTAATATGTAAATTTACTATTATAATTTGTAACTTGTCCATACAAACTCCGTTACTAACGTTATTTATATCCACACGTATGTGGAGACGTCCTCTACAACTTTCGTTTAGACTCCGTCGGCTAATTTTGACTTTATTTTTAAAGTTATATTTTTAACAGGTCGGGACAGGATTGGTCCGTTAAAATCTTATAACTTCTTCTTCCGATGTCCATATTCGTCTGTCTTTTTATCGTTACACTAATAATATTGAGATCTTCGATTCTCGTTTAGGTTTTGTCACCTAAAAACCGCTCGATCTAATACTCGAACTTCGGGTTGTACACCGCTAAGCCGAAACTTCGAAAAATCATAACTTCCTCATACGAAGTTAGATTTGGGCATTCTTTTTATGGACGTTCTCAGGTTAACATATTCTACGCCTTTCTTTTGGATTACTAAGGCTAAAAGTCGCTCTATCATAAATTCACTATTTACGTCTTCCTAGTGCTGTGTCTGTTCCGTCGTGAAACTTCGACGGGTCATAACTTCGTTGTTATAACTCGGATTTCAGCGCTCTATATACGTATGGCACCCTTGAGACATATTCTACAACTTGGTTAAATTTATTTATTCTATATAATCTTTTGTGGAAAAGTCATTTTCGACCCCTATTATCTCTAAATTGACTAGCCCAGATCTACGTGCGTTACAATTATCTCCCCTTTAAGATGATTACGTCCTAGAATCATCAACGAAATAGGACTCACATGATGACTCTATATGTTATCTCTTCATCCTAAGTAATAACCGTAACTTTGATGTTTCTTCGAATGAGTATCTAACTCTAAAACTTCCTGACTACTAGCGATGCCTGATCTTGGACCCGCTCTCTATCTCATGTTAGACTTCTAATCATGATCTTCATGTCGTGATCTAGATCTTTATTGGAGACTCCTTTTTTAACAAACTTGAGATAAGTTTCTTCCTTCGATTATCATAATAGACTGATGGGTCATGATCTAATGACCTCTCATCGTATGATGCATCGCTTGGACTCAGGTCTTTTAGAGTCAAATTCCATAACAGACTATACCTTCCGTCATGTTCTAACCACATCTTAAAATTTCGCATTTCTAGCTACAAGCAACTTTTCGCGATACCTCTACTGATCACTTTTTTTATTTCAATCTTCCGTCTTAAGTCAGATGCTACCTCGAAATTGATTCTCTGAACCACATAACATACTCAACGTAGTCGAACTCAAATTGATATGACCACTAGGGTCGGAATAACAATCATCTTCTTAGTCATTACCGAAACAATGGTAATGACAGACTTGAATAAAATGAAACCAATTACTAGATTCTTGGTAACCTTGTGACATTCCCTGGTCCAAGCGTGAGTCATGTGCTTCTGGTAGTATATGCATCTACTACCTTTCACACCTACTATTACTTGTCCCAAGTATTGTGTCGCAGTCGCTAAGTCCTAAAATCACAAAACAATTTAACACATACGAGTGTGTCCAAATAATCATAAAAATTTCCCTAGACTCGACTAGGACTTCTTCCAGGCGTATCTTCAATCATCAATTCTGCTTCAACTCGGTTGGTGATGGAAATTCCAGATGATAGGAAAACTTTAGGAATTACCAGTGTTGTAAAAATTAGCCTAGGCGGCCGCCTAGGCGCTTGGCGGAGGTAAACTGTATAGGATTTTTGATAGGCGTTGGAATTAATCGGAATCGTTCAACGACGGTCAAAGGCGGAAAATGGCGGTCTAGGCGGTCAAAATAGGTCAACATAAGTCAACTAAAAAAGTCAAAATTAAACCTTTTTTCTTAATCTAATCGACTAAAAGAAATACAGCTTCATCTTGTTTTTTTTTGCGCCTCATTCATCTCGTTCTCTTCTCCAGCGATCGACTACAACATTCTCCATCAGACTCCGGCGACAAGGGTTTAGCGATTCAGGCTACAGCATTCACCATCGGACTCCGACACATGGGATGACGACGCATCGCAGATTCGCACAGCATTCACCATCGTGATTTCTAATCATCGCTGCAACGTATTCTGACCACACGTTCGAGTCCAAACAATTCAATCTGTCGATTCCGGATTCGGGATTTCTCACAATCGACTTTGACCAGCTGTCATCGGTAAGTTTTTCCCTTGGTTTCGGTTTTTCATTCCAGTTTTTGTTTGCTTACGAACATAAGAATATACAAGTTGCACAATGGTCCAACTATTTTGGTTTGGGTTTTCCTTTCCTGTGTTTTGATTTTTGCCCCTGTTTCATAAGTGATCATACAAGCTGGACCATTTTGCCCCTGTTTCAATCCTAATTTTTGCCCATGTTTCATTCCATCTTTTTCATGCCTGTTTCAATCCTGTTTCATTCCAGATTACAATTATTTTCTGCCCATGTCTAATTACCATTTCTTTCAAAATTTCACAGATTAAAGGTTGTTAATGGCATCTAAAAATTCAACTACACAATCAATGGATTCAATAGCTACTGGTTTAAAGAGGAATTCAAATGATATTGCTTGGGAATTTGCTATTTGCCCAGATCCTACAAACTTGGATAAATTGAAGTGTACATTGTGTGGAAAAGTTTATAGTGGGGGGGCTTCAAGAATGAAACAACATATTGCTCATGTGAAAGGAAATGTAGCTCCATGTCAAAAGTCTACCAAAGATGATCAGTTGAGATGTCGAGATGCTATCAATGAAGGAAAGTTAAAAAAGAAGGGAAAACAAGCACATGATGAAGCGTTAAGATCGGAGGTGAGATTTGATACTAATGAAAACATTAGTATAGACACGGATGAAATAGAGAATAATTTTGGGAGCTTGAGGGAACCATATGTTATAGGCCCGATGGATAACTTTGCAAACACATTAAACCCTGAAGAATCTTTGAAGTCGGGAAAAGGCAAAAAAGTTGATATTAACAATGCTATTCGAAAAGAAAGAATATCAACTGTGAAAAGTTTCATTGGTAGGTGGGCATATGAGTGTGCAATTCCTTTTCATGCCTTCGAAAAGGATAGCTTTAAAATGATGGTGGAGGTAATCGGCCAATATGGAACCGGGCTTCCAACTCCTACTAGGTATGAGTTGAGTAACACAATTTTAAAAAAAGAAGTTGAAAGAACAAAAAATTTAGTGAAAAAAAATGAAGAAGAATGGAAACAAGATGGATGCTCGATTATGACGGATGCTTGGTTTGATAGAAAGAGGAGGAGCATTATGAATTTATGTGTCAATTCAAAGATGGGTACCGTTTTTTTATCTTCAAAAGAATGTTCGGATGAAGCACATACAAGTCAACATATATATGAGTATGTGGAATCTTGCATTCAAGAAGTTGGTCCCGAACATGTTGTTCAAATAGTAGCCGATAATGCCACGAATAACATGGGAGCCGCAAAGTTGCTAAAAGAGAAAAGACCAAAGATTTTCTGGACATCATGTGCGACACATACCATAAACCTTATGCTTGAAGGTATTTGTAATTTTATTTATTGTGTTTTATAATTCTATTTGTGTTTTTAATCGTGATTATTTTTTGAAGGTATTGGTGGGCTTCCAAGGTTCAAGAAAGTCTTAGATCAAGCAAAGAAACTAACCATCTTCATTTATGCCCACCACAAAACGTTAGCTATGATGAGAAAATTCACTAACAAAAGGGATATCATCCGACCGGGTGTCACGAGATTTGCTTCCGCCTATCTAACATTACAAAGTTTGTCTGAAAAAAAAAGAGCAACTAAGGCATATGTTCTCTAACAACGAATGGGAAGAATGTAAATTTTCAAATGCAGTTAAAGGGAGATCTAGTCATACATTGGTGACAGGTTCCACATTTTGGGCGGGTGTGGCACTTTGCTTAAAGGTGTTTTCCCCTTTGGTGAAAGTTCTTCGTATGGTTGATGCGGATTGGAAGCCCTCGATGGGTTTTGTTTATGGTGAGATTAAAAAAGCAAAAAAAGAAATCATTGATGCTTTAGGCGGTAACAAAAAAGCATATGAGCCTATCATAAATATCATATCAAAGAAAATGAAAGGTAGACTAGATTCAAAATTGCTTTTGACGGCTTATCTTCTAAATCCTTATTATCATTATAAGGATCCGCAACTCCAACATGATCCCAAAGTAATGGATGCGGTTCTTGAGTTTTTTGATACATTATTTGCCGGAGATTTAGAGATGCAAAAGCAAGTCGTGACTATTGAGTTGCCAAAGTACAAGAAAAAAATGGATAGATTTGGTCGGGAACTTGCAGTTAAAGCATGTGAAGCTAATGACGCTGACTATGATCCGGGTAAAACATTTTACTTTTGTTTAATTATTTTATAAAAATTCATATTTATCAATTTATGAATCTAATAATGTGATTTATGTTTAAAAATCATAGCAATTTGGTGGGGTACGTTTGGTGGAGCAACTCCTCATTTGACAAAGATTGCAATAAGAATTCTTTCTTTGACTAGTAGTTCATCTGGATGTGAAAGGAATTGGAGCACCTTTGAAGGGGTTAGAATTCAAACTTCAAATTTAAGCAATTTATTTAAATTATAATTTTATATCATAATATTGTATATTTTTTACCATTTATTTTTTTTACGTTTGTAGATTCACACGAAGAAAAGAAATAGGTTGGATGCAAGTAAAATGAACAATCATGTTTATGTCCAATTTAATGCTAATTTGATGGAAAAAACAAAAAGAGAAAAGAAAGGAATATGGAAGTGTTATTAGCTAATGATAGTCACACGACTCAAGAATGGATTGTTGATTGTGGTGATTGTGATGAAGATGGAGTTGGCATAGTTGGTGATGGTCAAGGAACCGATGAACTCGGACAAAGTTCAAGAACAAGAGAACTTTTAGATGAAGATTTTGCGTCAGGTAGTGAGGAGGAAGTATTTGAAGAAGTTGATTATGAATCGGATGGAGTTCACATCATGGAAGAATACAGACATAAAGAGTAGAAGCCTGTGAACAATCAAAAGTTTGATCTTATAAAACTTATTTTGGACTTTGTATGATGCTTTATGACCTGAATATGTAAACGTTTATGAATATTTACTTACTTTGGACATGTATTGTTTTATGACTTGAATATGTAAAAGTTTATGGATATTTACATGTTTTGTTAGTATTTTGTTTAGAGATAATCATATGATATAGGTAATATTTAAGTTTTTGTTTTTACAATTAAGGGTCCCCGCCTAGGCGGCGATTAATCCCCGCCTAGACCGATTAATCGCTTGACCCCAGTTGACCGCCGAGGTACCGCCGAGCAATTTTTACAACCTTGGGAATTACACCAATTGTTGTATCATCCCGCCAATCAAATGTATACATTCAGATGTACTGTACTTCTCCATACGAACTACTATTTTACCAGACGTATTCTAAAGGCAAGATACCTATCTTATTATATCCTTCGATAGGTATCATTCACTATCGTAAGCCATCTCATTTCCTCTATTTTCTCGGTCTACCATGGCTCGCATCTCTTCCTGGATTTCTTCCATTGTGATAGGTTCATGTGCAGGTGCAATGACCGATACATGTCCCATCACATTCTTAGGCTCAGGTTGTCATCTTCCTCTTGTTTTTTACACCCAAGCAGACATTCAGTGTACCAAGACGAGAATTTAAGATAGGAAAGATTTTATTTACGATAGACGTATAAATCTCCATATTACTCCGAAACATTAAATGCTAGTTCTAATATTGTAATGATACGTTTAGAATCCTGAGCACATAAGGCTTCCAAATCCGATCGGCAACAAACCATAAATCCAAACAAATAATAGCACTTAACACATCTTTATAGCTATAACATAAATCATTTAGCACATAAAACATTTTAGGCATCTTTCGTAAAATAAACTAGTGCTGGTGTCTAAATTATAGCAGAGACTCATCTCACAATCATCGCTTAGCATTCTAAGTTTAAGTCTAGAAATAAATCCTTATTCCTAGTTCGCTTAAACTAATGCTCTGATACCAACTGCGACATCCCCATTTTCACTGCCAGAAAAGACCGATTTTGTTTATGCTTTATAAAAATTAGAGTACCTCTTTTAATAAAAATGTTGCGGAATTTGTTCCCAGTAAAACATGATAAATACGTTATCAAAGCATTTATGAAGAAAAGTATTTTTAATTTGTTTTAAAACATTTGGGATGCCACCGTCAATGCAGAAACATAAGCATAAACAGAACTTACATTTATTTACACTAGTGATCTACATCTCTTTAATCTCTCAATGTAATGTGACTTCATCTCAACACCTGTAATATAAATAAATTGAGTGGGTCATGTTGGGAAACCTGGTGAGTACATAGAAGTTTCAACCCATAATAATATAATTATTATGTTTAAACAATCAAACAATCGACCCAATTACCCATCCCCATTATCTTCGTTACTCTTAAGGATCTATTCTAAGAATCATCTATCCCGCATTCGTTCATTCTGAAGTCCTTTGCTTCCAGAGTTATAGGACTGGCACTAAATCCATAACTGCCAATGCTCGTTCGTAAAGCACTAATTCCATAGCTGCTGGGTACTAAATCTATAGCTACCAGTATTTATCTAATAGGTACTAAGTCCATAGCTACCAATTCCTAACAGGTACTAAGTCCATAACTACCAGTGTTTGTCCAATTGACACTAAGTCCATAGCTGCCGATGTTATTTATTAGAAACTAAGTCTATAGCTGCCAATGTTTACTCACATAATCTTTTATCTCTCATCATTCATCTATCCATCTCATACCCAACATACTTGTGTATTTAAAATACGTATACAGTTCAAATCATTTAAAACATGTGTAAAAAAATGGTCTTCCAGCATAGACAGGAAGTATTCAGATAATATGCACATATAGCACGTAGTTTATATAAAACACTTCATATCTATGTGTAAGATGAAATTAACTATGCACTCACCTGAGAAAGTGATGACTCGGTACTCGAACAACGCTTCGTTTACTTTAAAATAATTTCCTTCGACGAAATCTAGTATTATTACCACTAGATTTTAGTCTAATATTTACCGTGACTAATTATTAGTCTTATTATTATTAATATATAAGCGTTTAAAAGTTACTTTCCATCCACTATGTACAGACAGGGGTCGGACATAAAAGACCGGAGGGCAGGACCATTTTGGCGTATAGCACTTCTGAAATCCAACAACCCTATGCAGCCATTTAAACCAGATTCTCCGTACCGCGAGTAGTTAAAAATATATTATAAAGACACTTATATAAGTCATAATAATAGCTCAAATATTTATTATACTTTTATAATAACAATACTAATTTTAAAGATAAACTATATTTAAAATAGGGTAAGCATAACTTACTTACAAGGAGATGTTAGCTAGGAGTCGGGCTCTGCAGGGGCAGAACTTCATCAATAAATCCTTCTAAGAAAGATTCGTGCAGCGCTTTAGCAGTTACCTTACTATACTAAAACTACTGAAAGAGAAGTCGAATCACGAGAGACCGAAATGGTCGGGTGATAAGGAGAGAAAGACTCTTGAATCAAGATAATGGTGCAAGAAATATGAGAGCCCAAACCTCTTATTTATAGTAATTGAATTTACAAAAACTACCCTCCATAATTACTTAATGACCTTATAGTTATATAAACAACTAAACACCCCATTATAATACTATTTTAAACAGATTTAATAATATTTGCACAAAACTAATGTCGAAAGAACTCAAAATTAGTCTTATCATGACTGCATCATCGATACCTTTCTAATGATATATACATATGTATATATATATATATGTGTACGTATATATGATTTATACTTTATTTTAATACGCAAATATGCTATTATAATTTGTAACTCGTTCATACGAACTCCATTACTGACGTTATTTATATCCACGTGTATGTGGAGACGTACTCTACAACTTTCGTTTAGACTCCGTCCGCTAATTTTGACTTTATTTTTAAAGTTATATTTTTAACAAGCAGGAACAAGATTGGTCCGTTAAAATCTTATAAATTCTTCATCCGATGTCCATTTTCATCTGTCTCTTTATCGTTATTCTAATAATAATGAGATCTTCGATTCTCGTTTAGGTTGTGTTGGCTAAAAACCGCTCGCTCTAATACTCAAACTTCGGGTTGTACACCGCTAAGCTGATACTTCGAAAAATCATAACTTCCTCATACGAAGTCAGATTTGGGCGTTCTTCTTATGGACGTTCTCCGGTTAACATATTCTACGACTTTCTTTTAGATTACTAAGGCTAAAAGTCACTCTATCATAAATTCACTATTTACGTCTTCCCAGTGTTGTGTCGGTTCCGTCGCGAAACTTCGACGGGTCATAACTTCTTCGTTATAACTCGGATTTCGACTCTCTTTATATGTATGGAACCCTTGAGACATATTCTAAAACTTCGTTAAGATTATTTATTCTAAATAATCTTTTGTCGGAAAGTCGTTTTCAACCCCTATTATCTCTAAATTGACTAACCCGGATCTACGGGCGTTACAATTATCTCCCCTTTAAGATGAGTACGTCTTGGAATCATCAACGAAACAGGACTCACATGATGACTCTATACGTTATCTCTTCATCCTAAGTAATAACCATAACTGTGATGTTTCTTCGAATGAGTATCTAACTCTAAGACTTCCTAACTGCAGGCGGTGCCGGATCTTGGACCCGCTCTCTATCTTATGTTAGAATTCCAATCATGATCTTCATGTCGTGATCTCGATCTTTATTGGAGACTCCTTTTTAACAAACTTGAGATAAGTTTCTTCCTTCGATTATCATAATAGACTCATGGGTCATGTTCTAATGACCTCTCATCGTATGATGCCTCGCTTGGACTCAGGTCTTTTAGAGTCAAATTCCAGAACAGACTATACCTTCCATCATGTTCTAATCACATCTTAAAATGTTGCGTTTCTAGCTACAAGTAACTTTTCGCGATACCTCTACTGATCACTTTTTTTTTTATTTCAATCTTCCGTCTTAAGTCAGATGCTACCTCGAACTTGATTCTCTGAACCACATAACATACTCAGCGTAGTCGAACTCAAATTGATACGACCACTAGGGTCGGAATAACAATCATCTTCTTAGTCATTACCGAAAAGATGGTAATGACATACTTGAATAGAACGAAATCAGTTACTAGATTCTTGGTAACCTTGTGACTTTCCCTGATCCAAGCGTGAGTCTTGTGCTTCTGGTAGTATATGCATCTACTACCTTTCACACCTACTATTACTTGTCCCAAGTATTGTCTCGCAGTCGCTAAGTCCTAAAATCACAAAACAATTTAACACATACGAGTGTGTCCAAATAATCATAAAAATTTCCCTAGACTTGACCAGGACTTCTTCCAGGCGTATCTTCAATCATCAATTCTGCTTCAACTCAGTTGGTGATGGAAATTCCAGATGATAGGAAAACTTTAGGAATTACACCAATTGTTGTATCATCCCGCCAATCAAATGTGTACATTCAGATGTACCGTACTTTCTAGACAAACTACTATTTTATCAGACGTATTCTAAAGGTAAGATACCTATCTTATGATATCTTCCGATAGGTATCATTCACTATCGTAAGCCATCTCATTTCCTTTATTTTCTCGGTCTACCATGGATCGCATCACTTCCTGAATTTGTGATAGGTTCGGGTGCAGGCGCAACGACCGATGCATGACCCATCACATTGTTAGGCTTAGCTTGTCATCTTCCTCTTGTTTTGTACACCCAAGCAGACGTTCAGTGTACCGAGACGAGAATTTAACATAGGAAAGATTTTATTTACGATAGACGTATAAATCTCCTTATTACTCCGAAACATTACATGCTAGTTCTAATATCGTAATCATACGTTTAGAATCCTGAGCACATAAGGTTTCCAAATCCGGTCGGCAACAGACCATAAATCCAAACAAATAACAACATATAACACATCTTTAT